AGGGGCTGAAAGCGATGATACCAGCGATTTGGATTTCGCGTATCTACCCACTTATGCAGGTACGGAATGTGCTCCCGGACGTGATAGCCGCGATCTGCATCGCGGGAAAAGCAAAGGCGGTCCGCGAATGCCCGGTAAGCTTCTTCGCTTCTCGTCATCTTGACGTAGTCTAACGCTTGCCGCATGGCAGTCAGGTTGCCATCATTGGTTCCCCAGTTCACATACCAGATTCGGCGAGAATCTTCTCGATCGACGGCCGCGATGATTGCGTTGCGTGCCTTGGTGCCATCGTAGGAAGGGAGCGTGATCGCCCGAACATTCTTCGGAGAGGGATACCGTCGATCGTGCTTGGTGAGGCTGGGCCACACTTTCTGGTAAGCTTCGATGAAGCGCTCGAGGCATTCCCTACCGCTTTCTCCTGTGCGAGACTGGTCAGCACGTCGGGTACAGAGAATTCCCTCGACATCCCATTCGTTCAAGTAAAGGAAGAATCGCACAAGCGATCCTTCATCATCGGGATCCCCACCTGGGGCATCCGTTTCGATAATCACCCGCAGTCGTTCTTCCGGCTTGGCCGCGTTCGTTGGACGAGGAACCGTCAGCCCCATCGCCAACGCTGCCAAGAGGATTGTCGCCAAACACTTCATGCTTAGGAACCTGAGCTCGGATTCGATTGTGCCGCCAGGTATTGATCGACGCCTTGACCAAACGCTCGCAAGCTGGGAAGACGCATTTCGTTGTACTCTCGAGAAGCAAGCACACCGTCGGCGCCGGCTTCAAATGCCTGAACGACCGCCGCTTCAACGGAGTCCGGACGACTAGGGCGCGGCTCCATTCCTCCGGGGACATACCAGGGAACATCGATGCCGATCCCGGCGTACACCTTAGCATGGCTTCCCACGCCCAACTTACAGCGTTTGGTCTCGTTGTACACATAGGTTGCGCCTAAGCCGTTTGCGTCAAGCTCTTCGACCTGGGGCATCTCTTTAGCCGTATGGCCAAAAGTGGAATAGAAGAGGCTTAGCGATTGCTCCAAGCTCAGCTCATTCAAGACGCGGTCTTTCATCCGTTCGAGCACCCACCAGCGAAGTCTCGGACCGAAAGTCTCGTGGTACAGAATCGGTTTGATGAAGTCCGCGTTTTTCGCCATGGTGCTGTAAGGAATCGCAGCCCGGTAGAAGACGTCCCAACTCGACCGTTGGTGATCGACGTGCCGGCCTGAGTCGATATTGGGTGAGATCGCCTTGGCCGTGTGATGGACCTGAGTGCAGATTTCCTCGTCTGCGAGAAACCATTGATAGTCCCAGCTAAGAACTTCTGGAAACCGCTGCAGGATTCTGAGCACTTCCGTCAGCAGACCATCGATTGGCCGGGCTTTATTCTGCTCAGTTGCTTTGATCAGGGAATACAGTTTTCCATAGCCTTGACGGGCACGATCTGCGTCGATGCCTTTCTCTTGGTTACGCTGGATACAGTGACTGCAAAAACATGTCGCCGTTTCTCCTCGAAATAGCACATGCGACATCGGCCCAGTGCGTTCGGCACCATACTGCAAGCCATCCAGGTCGTAG